TTCTTCTGTTAAACACAAAAGTTCAAGAAAATTTAAGATGGTTGCTCTTTGATTACAGCAAAAGTTGACTGAGGCTTTCAAGCAATATATATAAAAATAATAATAATAACAATTATTATTATTATTATTATTATTATTATTATTATTATTATTGTTATTGTTATTGTTATTATTATTATTGTTGTTGTTGTTGTTATTGTTATTGTTATTATTATTATTATTATTATAAACACACAAAAGTGACAAACATAATAAAAGGCTATTGCAGATTATATGGTTTCAAAAATGCTTGAATAATTACACAGTTAATCACTAACGAACAAAATTATGTATTCTCTTCAATCTTAATCTGAATCTTAACCGAGTTTGTTTGGCTTTGAAGACATGAATTATACTGAAAAGTAAATAAATAAAACATTAGGGTCACACTTTATTTTGATGGTCTGTTTGTTGAATTTAAGTTATCTGCATGCCAACTAATTCTCATTAGATTATAAGTAGATTGTTAGGTTAGTTAGTTTATGTTGACATGTACTTGCAAAGTTTCTTATAGTCAGCTAAATGTCTGTTAAAGGAGCAGTATCAACCAGGGGTTTAGCGGATATTTTAAAAGTGGGGGGGGGGGGGGCAGCTTTATGATATCCAAAATTTTACATTCATATAATTTATAATTATTAATCACATGTTTGTAAATGCTCTGTAGACAGACAGGGATGGATGGATGGATGGATGTATGGATGGATGGATGGATGGATGGATAGACAGACAGACAGACAGACAGACAGACAGACAGACGGACAGTCGGACTAGGCCGAAGGAAAGTAAGTGATATCAAATAGTCTCTAAAATGATGTTTGTATGTATATATAGGGACATTTTGTCTTCATAATATTAACTTGAATATAATCCCCACATTGTGAATCACATATTTAGCTGTAGTCTTGTTAAATCTTGTGTGTTTACTCAACTAAAGTGCATGATGCATCTACTTTCTGTATTGTAATTTGTTATGAAAAACAAATATCTCTATGTTTTGGTCAACTCTGTTACATCAGTTATAAAAGGCATAATCTTTAAAGCGAAAAAAGTATGTGAACTATTGATGTCTCTTCCACTGACGGGAAAGTCTAGTAGGCACTGAGGCATGTCATGCTGTCATTAATTTGTACAAAAGTTTTTTGCATTTGTACTGTTGCTATGCTTCATACAGTGTGTAGTATTACATGTGGACTAGGGGTTGCCATATACAGCATACTGTTATACTCTCAGAAATGAAGGTATGCGAGCTGTCACTGGGGTGGTACCTTTCAAAAGGTACACATTTGTACTTATAGGGTCCATATTGGTACCCCAAAAGTATATATTAGTACCTAAAAATTAAGAGGAACACTTTTGTACTTTTTAGGTACTACTATGTGCCCTTAAGGTATTAATATGTCCTTTCTTGTTTTTATTTGATATATATTTTTTACATTTGTACTATTGCTTTGCATCAAATAGTGTATAATAATACAAGTGTATTAGGGGTTGTCATTTACAGCTTGTTGTTATATTATACATCATACAATCAAATCAGTCAATCCATCCATCCATCCAACCAAACAATGTCAATCAAATCCATCCATCCAATCAATCAGTCAATCAAATCCATCAATACATCCATCCATCAACCAATCGATCAGTCAATCAAATCCATCAATACATCCATCCATCAACCAATCGATCAGTCAATCAAATCAAATCTATCCATTCATCCATCCATCCATCTATCAGTCAATCAAAACCATTAATACATCTATCCATCAACCAATCGATCAGTCAATCAAATCCATCAATACATCCATCCATCAACCAATCGATCAGTCAATCAAATCCATCAATACATCCATCCATCAACCAATCGTTTAGTCAATCAAATCCATCAATACATCCATCCATCAACCAATCGTTCAGTCAATCAAATCCATCAATACATCCATCTAGCAACCAATCAAATCAAATCTATCCATTCATCCATCCATCCATCCATCCATCTATCAGTCAATCAAATCCATCAATACATCCGTCCATCAACCAATCGATCAGTCAATCAAATCCATCAATACATCCATCTAGCAACCAATCAAATCAAATCTATCCATTCATCCATCCATCCATCCATCCATCTATCAGTCAATCAAATCCATCAATACATCCATCCATCAACCAATCGATCAGTCAATCAAATCCATCAATACATCCATCCATCAACCAATCGATCAGTCAATCAAATCCATCAATACATCCATCCATCAACCAATCGATCAGTCAATCAAATCAAATCCATCCATTCATCCATCCATCTATCTATCCATCCATCCATCCAATCAGTCAATCAAATCCATCAATACATCCATCCATCAACCAATCAATCAGTCAATCAAATCACATCAAATCCATCCATCAATCCAACCAATCAATCAGTCAATCGAATCCATCAACCCATCCGTCCATCAACCAATCAATCAATCAGTCAATCAATCAATCCATCTTTCCATCAACCAATCAATCAAATTAATCCATCAACCCAAACAAAAGATGATGTCAGTCTCATTACGGGTCCAAATGTAGTTATTTTTTAAGGCTCATTTTAACAGAAAAATACAATAAATTATTTATGTTTGGCTTGCGAATAATTACAATGCAAAAAAAAAAAAATTAAATAAATAAAATAAATCTCAACTAATTTTATGTTGATTTTATGCCACATTCCAAAGCCTAAAAGCATCATTATTTTTTCATTTTATGTTCAGTATTCAACTCCTTTCTTGTTCCACAAAAAAAGGTAAGTCACAGATTTGGAACAACATAGGGATGAGTAAACGATGAGAGGATTTCCATTTTTGGGTGAACCATCCCTTTTAACACTAAGCAAGAGTCTCCTGTCACGCTCTCTTGCGTCTGAGAATGCTAATGTTTCATATCAGTGTCAGAGCAGCCTGTATTACAGCACATCACTCAGCTCTGCGTCGAACTTTACTGTCTCTGTCAATATCAATCTCTGTCCGTCTCTCTCCGCGAGCTCATCCTTTTAGTTCTTGTGCATCTGAAATGACTCACACGTTGCATCTCTTCCTCGAAAAACTCTTCCCGCTGCGGTGCACCTCCAAAACCTCTCGCTCTCATTCCCATTTCAATTCCACATCAAAGAGGCGAATCAATGCCGAGCCACTAACGTTCACTTATACAACAGCGCCCTTCATCGCAACCTCATCCTCATGGTTTTGTCATCGCTTTTTTTTTCTCTCAATAGCTCTTTTTTCCTCAGACATGGATGTTTTTCATGCACACATACGCTCACAGAAATGCTTGTCCACATGAGTTTATTTTTGTTCTGTAACCTTTAACATTGATTTTTTGCTTTTAATGTATAGGCTCATGGGTCGATGTGTTCAGAGATGGCTTTAGATGCACACATGAATTGTATTAATACAAATATCACAGTTTTTATTTATTTATTTATTTATTGCGTTTGTACTGCTCTGCATCATACAGTGTGTAGTAATACATGTGGATTGCCGTTTACAATGCTCAACATAAATTAGTACACGCCTTACAAATCTCTCATTTAGATTCATATTTGCTATACTGTAGGAAGCTTTTCAATATTACATTCGTGCATATACAGAGTAGGCCATTTATATGGATACACCTTAATAAAATGGGAATTGTTGGTGATATTAACGTCCTGTTTGTGGCACATTAGTATATGTGAGGGGGCAAACTTTTCAAGGTGGGTGGTGACCATTTTGAAGTCGGCCATCTTGGATGCAACTTTTGCTTTTTCAATAGGAAGAGGGTGATTTGACACATCAAACTTATTGGGAATTTTACAAGAAAAACAACGGTGTGCTTAGTTTTAACGTAACTTTTTTCCTTCATGAGTTATTTACACATTTCTGACCACTTATAAAATGTGTTCAATGTGCTGCCCGTTGTGTTGGATTGTCAATGCAACCCTCTTCTCCCACTCTTCACACACTGATAGCAACACCACAGGAGAAATGTCAGCACAGGCTTCCAGTATTCAGTATTCAGGTGCTGCACATCTTGTATTCAACACAATCCAACACAATGGGCAGCACATTGAACACAAGTGGTCAGAAACTTGTAAATAACTTATGGAAATTTTCAAAGTATGTCTGATAATATTTTTTCTTCTGGAGAAAGTCTTATTTGTTTTATTTCGGCTAGCATAAAAGCAGTTTAAATTTTATGATGATGTTTTAATTTTATGAACCATTTTAAGGTCAAAATGATTAGCCCCTTTAAGCTAATTTTTTTCCAGATAGTCTACAGAACAAACCATCATTATACAATAACTTGCCTAATTACCCCAACCTGCCTAGTTAACCTAATTAACCTAGTTAGGCCTTTGAATGTCACTTTAAGCTGTATGGAAGTGTCTTGGAAAATTTAGAAATGTGTTAAGAAAATCTTCTCTTCGTTAAACAGAAATTGGGGGGAAAAATAAACAAGGGGCTAACGTATAAACTTGCCATACATATACACACACACACACACTGCATAAAAACAAATTCTCTTGTGTGACATCATGGGACAGTGAAGTGTACATTGGATGCACATTCAGAATTTATCCCGCCTTTACTATTTTTTTGGATGGTATGATTTTAGACTTGCTACTCTGAAATCACATACTTCCCTACTACATAGTGTGTGAAAAGTATGTATCAGAGTCAACAGAATGTCAAATACGACTATAATACAGTGAATATTTAATACAGTGGATAACTTTACTAAAACTATATCTTTTTAACTCAAGATGATAGACTCTATCAAGCTTCTGTATTTTGATTAGGCTTGACACATTACATTTTCTTTTTAGATGATTCAATATAGTCTAATTTTGACTTGCAAGGTCATCCTTTAGGATAAGTTTGGACATGACTAACCAGCCAGACTGATCTCCTTTACTCATCAAGTTGTGTTTTTTTCTGCAGGCTGTGGTCTGGAGTTTCTCCTGGTGTTGTGTGGTTTAGAGTTGACCCAGGCCTGTCCGCGTCACTGCATCTGCTACGACTCTCCCAGCACCGTCAGCTGCCAGGCTCACAACTTTCAGGTGGTTCCTGAGGGAATTCCGGCCCAGAGCGAGCGCGTCTTTCTGCAGAACAACAAGATCCAGCGGCTGCTGCAGGGCCACTTCAGCCCGACCACAGTCATGCTCTGGCTCTACTCCAACAACATCTCTTACATCCAGCCCTCCACCTTCATGGGCTTCACCCGCCTGGAGGAGCTGGATCTGGGGGACAACAAACACCTGCGCTCTCTGGCTTCAGACACTTTCCAGGGCCTGACGAGACTGCATGCTCTGCACCTCTACCACTGTGGCCTGATCACTCTACCCGCTGGCTTGTTTGAGGGCTTGCACAACCTGCAGTACCTCTACTTACAGGTAGGAGTCATATTCAGTCACATTTACATTCTTGAAAAAACGAATACAGTCAACAGTTGAAGTGGATCAAAATAATAATAATAATAATTATAATAATTGTCCCATGCAGTGCTGTTTAATAGTTCAATAGTTTTAGGACAACTTTGATTAAAGGTTTTGATTTAAAATCGAATGTTGACTACTGGATTTTGCAAATAGGTGTTAAGCAACAAAAATGTCATGTACATGTGATATCACTTTAATCATAATTGATAAAAGTACATATTTAAATGATATAATATTTTTAGATGTTCAAAACTAGGACAGCAGGATATATCTAAATTAAATTGCGACTGCTAACATGCTGTGCAGTGGCGTAGCGCACAGGCCCGCAGAGCACGCACCACAGGGGGGCCCCGCGTGATTCTCTTATTTGTTTTATGTTCACTTAAATTTATACTTAACTTAAGAGTTTTGTGTTGGGACAACATGAAGGAATTGTGTTGGTCCAACTACCTAGTAAGGTATGGCGGCAACTCCATGCCAAAAATAATCAAACGCACAAGTGATGTTTGCGCGCGAGGAGAAGTGAACCGCGAGATTACCGTGAGGAAACGGGCACTTGTGAGCTCGTTGTAAACCCTTGTGCCTGCACATCGTCATCTGTGCACACAGTGTACTCTCTCGCAGACGAGCTTATGCCTCACAGCATGCATGCGATCAGTTTTCTCGCCCGCTCGTGAGAATGCCCTATTGGTTACTCTAGCCCTATTGGTTACTCTTGCTTTGCGGAAGTTAGCCTGAATTAAACACAGGTTAAAATATTACACCGTCAAAAAAAAAAAAAAAAAAAAACAAATATATATATATATATATATATATATATATATATATATATATATATATATATATATATATATATATAATATATATTTTATAAGTCATAATCATAAACTTTAAGATGCTTTCTAATGACTTAATTTCAAGAAACTGTCAAATAATAATGATTAATCTTCTAAAATAAAGACTAACATTCTTGTAAAAATGACATCCACTGTGTGTGCACAACCACTAGTTTCCTCCCATGTAGGTCTTTATTCCTCTTGGTTTCCACTTCTCACATGTAAACATCACAGTTTTGCTCGATCATTTTTGTCATAGAATTGATGTCATTGTTAGGCGAAATTTATTAGATTGAAATCCTGATCTTAATTAAACTGAGTCCATCCAATGAGTTATTATTTGGCTGTATATTTATAGTTTCCAATATACATTGTATATACAATTAAAGTGAAAATTATGAGCCCTCCTGTAAATTTTATTTTTTCTTTCAAAAATTTCCCAAATGATGTTTAACAGAGCAAGGAAACTTTCACAGTATTTCCCATAGTATTTTTTTGTGTGTGTGGAGAAAGTCTTATTTGTTTTATTTTAGCTAGAATAAAAGTAGTTTAGATTTTTTAAAATCATTTAAAGATCAATATTATAAGCATTTATTTTTTATTGTCCACAGAACAAATCATCATTACACAACGACTTGTCTAATTACCCTAACTTGCCTAATTAACCTATTTAATCTTTTAAAATGTCATTTTAAGCTGAACACCAGCATGCATCTGGGAAAATAACTAGTCAAATATTATGTTATGTCATTATAGCAAAGATAAAAGTAATCAGTTATTAGAAATGAGTAATTAAAACTACTATGTATAGAAATGTGTGGAAAAATCTTCTTTCTGTTCAACAGAAATCGGAATAAACTGTATAGGAGGGGCTAATAATTTATGAGGGTAACAATTCTGACTTCAACATTAGTCTTCAATGATTTTAATGTGTCTGTTCTGCTAGGTTTGACACTCTAATGTAAATATATCATATCTATCCACTTCCTTTATAAGACGCTTGATTTGACAAAGTTCTGCTAACACTTCAGAAAATCTGACCAGATACGATACAGTTTTTATGAAAGCAGAACTGCCATCTTAAGTGGATATACTATTTTTTTTTTTTTTTTCCCAGTTCAAACTGTTGCTTGCAAATCATCAGACATGCCAAATAAATCTAGATAAGATCAGCTTAAAATGTTCAGTATCAGCCTTGGCAGCAAAAAGTGCTGCACTAAAACGATGACCGGAGACAATATTTCGCTCTAATGAAAATGTCAAAAAAATAACAGACTCTTCAGGTGCAAAGAGCATTACAGAAGATTACAGAATCTGATTTATTTTAAGGATAAAAGTTTCTAGCCTTTGAGGAGGTTTGGCATTTATATATGAACGGCTATTCTAATAAAGACGTTACTAAAAAGCATACATAATATTATTAAGTCACACCTTCTATACACTTGCCATTATTATTCACACATACATCATAAATAGGGTACAGTGTACTGAAGATACATTTGAGAACGCAATGCTTTGAAGGCACAAAGAACAGAAATAGAAATAGAAAGGGAAAAATCTAATATATCTAACATGGTCTGCCAATTTCGTGAGTCATCTTTGAACTGCTTTTTGAAAAAACTGCATGATTTGATTTGGTGCTTTCCTCAAGATGTTTTTCAGTTTTAATCTCTTCAGCAAAATCTAATCTCATCTTAGTTTGCACAGTCCAAAAAACAACAATATAAATGGGGAAATATTTCAATAATGCATATGAAAATATGAGACCAAATTAATAATACTGTTAATTATAGCATTTAAGGTTATCAAAGTTTTGCTTGTTTGTTTTGCATTTTATCTTCATTTTAGTAAAATGAGCACATAATAATAATAATAATAATATTAATAATATTAATATTTATCATTATTATTATTATTATGAACAACAATAATGATAATAATAATAATAATAATAATAATATTAATAATAATAGTATTAACAACAATGATGATGATAATAATAATAATAATAATAATAATAATAATAATAATAATAATATTAACAACAATAATGATAATAATAATAATAATATTAACAACAATAATGATAATAATAATAATAATAATAATAATAATAATAATAATAATAATAATAATAATAATAATAATAATATTAACAACAATAATGATAATAATAATAATAATATTAACAACAATAATGATAATAATAATAATAATAATAATAATAATAATATTAACAACAATAATGATAATAATAATAATAATATTAACAACAATAATGATAATAATAATAATAATAATAATAATAATAATAATAATAATGAACATTATTATTATTATTATTATTATTATTATTACTACTATTATTATTTACATTTATGTAGCACTTTTCTGGACACTTAAAGCGCTTTACATAATTTAACGACCACAGACAGTCAGGACCTCGGTTTAACGCCTCATCCGAAAGACGGTGCTCACTGAGCAGTATAGAGTCCCTATCAATATACTGGGGTGTTAGGACTAATACAGGCCGCAGGTTGAGCGCCCTTGCTGGTCTTACTAACACCACTTCCGGCAGCAAACTAGTTTTCCTATGTGGTCTCCCATCCACGCACCAACCAGGTGCAGCCCTGCTTAGTTTCAGTGAGCCACCATGTCGCAAAAGCAATGTTTCACCACAATACAATCTGATATTGATTCTGAAGGTGATAACTGCAGATGCCTTACACCACAATCTGATTATAGTTTGATTCAGTTGTGGTGTATACTGATGAATATATTGTTATTACTACATTTTGTACCATATAGACAATGAGTTACATTTGTAAAAACACAAATGACAAAATATATAATTTGTAGATTTAAATTAATTCTGACAATTGCACATACTGTGTCCCAACAGAAACAAACACAAAAACAAGCTTAAAAGTAAGCTTAAGTTATTTTTAAATAGTTAAAAAAATAAAAGACAGGAAAAAAAAAGAAATGAAAAACGATTGGCATGATTAAGAAACCTATTAAATTACATGAAAAATAGTCTAAATGCCAAAATTATTATTATAATAATTTATTAATATTATTATTTATTAGTATTATGTTTATTTATATGATAACAATATAACAACACCTTTAATAAGAACAGGTCAAATTAGTACAGCATGTCATTTGATTTTTTACAATATTTCTGTTGCACTGAACAACCATGTAAATTTGACTCATATTTGTGACATTTTATTTATTTCAGATTTAACATTATTTGGAAAAAGTATTTTTCATGCCTAATGTCAATTTGATGTCAAAACTTTAATATCCCATTGACATCCAGACGTTGATGCACTTGTGAACACCAAAATAATGACACAAAAAGTATTATAGCTTAAGAAATCTGAAAGCTTCAATTACTATATGATACATTTAAACTGGATTTTGTATTCCTACAATGGATGCAGACTACCTTGATGACAAAATTGACATCAAATTGTCAAAAAAGGAAAGTCCCTATAATCGAATTTTGGCCTGTTTCCTATGTCATGTTGGTGGTCAAAAGGCCATCAGTGTGTGGATGTCAACTGGACATTTAGGTTTTACACTGGATTTTGTATCCTCACGACGCATGTAAACTATCTTGATGTCAAAATGACATCGAATTGACATCTAACACTGGCGCCACAAAAAACACACCACAATTCCTTTACAGCCCTGCTGAAAACTCCAGCTTAAACAAGCCTAGGATGGTTGGCTGGTTTTAGCTGGACGACCAGTCTAGTTTTAGAGGGGTTTTGGCCACTTCCAGGCTTGTTTCCAGCTATTTCCAGCCTGGTCTTAGCTGGTCAGGCTGGAAAGTGATCAGCTAAAACCATCTACAACCAGCTTAACCATCAGACATAGCTGGTTTTGGCTGGGCTCCCAGCCTGGCTAGGCTGGGCAAGCTGGTTTTAGCTGGTCATATCCCAACCCGTGCAGCTAAAACCAGGCTGGAAATGGCTGCAAACCAGGCTGGAAATGGCTCAAACCCCTCTAAAACCAGGCTGGTCAACCAGCTAAAACCAGTCAACTATCCTAGGCTGGTTTTAAGCTGGATTTTTCAGCAGGGAGGACTACCCTTTTTTTTGTCATATTTACATAAGGAAGCCCACTCGGATGCATACTATGAGTTTAGAATAAATGTTGAAAATATCAAAGCACTGTTATACCCCTTAAAAAATGATATTTCAGCAAAAGACTAAGGAAAACTTGCTTTTTCCACACCTGCTAACTAACAGTGTTTATCTTACACTTTCAGAGCAACCAGCTGGAGTTTCTCGAGGATGACATGTTCATTGATCTACTGAATCTGAGCCATCTATTTCTTCATGGAAATCGGCTGTGGAGCCTCCACCAGAACACTTTCCGTGGCCTGGGAGCACTGGATCGCTTGCTTCTCCATCAAAACCGGCTCCAGTGGGTCCATAAGCAGGCTTTCCATGACCTGCGGCGCCTGACCACCCTCTACCTGTTCAACAACTCACTGCCGGAGCTGCCGGCGGAGAGTCTATCGCAACTGCCTGCGCTCGAGTACCTGCGCCTCAACGACAACCCATGGGAGTGCGACTGCAAGGCTGTGCCGCTCTGGGATTGGCTGCGGCGCTTCCGTGGCTCCACCTCCGCATTAATATGCACAGCTCCACCTGAGCTGGTGGGGAAGGATCTGAAACAGCTGACAAAAGAACAGCTGCCATCCTGTACGGGATCCGAGTCGCTCCACCAGAGCAAATCCAGCAATCAGGGGGATGTGGGGGTTTCGCTGAAGAAAGATCATCACCATCGATCGCACAACCGCCATCATCATCATCCTCATCTGCCACATCAGGATCAATACTACCCAACATCCCCATCACCGATCCCTCGACCGCCCAAGTCGGGACGCAACAGAAACTGCACGAGGCATCGTGGTCGCAAGGGTAACGGTCAAAACGAGGTGTATAACCTAAAGGACTTGGGCAACAAGGAATCAGATGATAAATACGACCCCACAAAACCAAGACGAAAGAACAAGTGCATCCCACGGACTTCAGTAGGGCCCCCTAGTGGCGTGCAGAGGGCGAACAGCAGGGCCACTTCCCTCTTGGCTCCTGGTTTCATCATCCCTCTTTGCTTATTGGTGTGTCTCACTGCCCTGATTTTCCGCTGATCCTGTGGAAGAGCCTCTACAAATGGTTTTTATGGAAGAAAAAATAAAACTAAACTCAGCCCTCTGTCTACTCTGGCTCCTACACTTCAGTGTGTGAATGTGTGTGTGCGTGTGTGTGTGTGTATTTCGACGAGCCCCTTTTGAGGGACAGAGGACTTGCAGGTCTGGAGACAAGAAGAAATCTCGGGTTTTGTGAGCGAGAGATCCTTGATTAGCACTGTTTTCTGTTGCTCCAGGGCACGTTGAATAACAAAAATAACCCATTAGCATTTGCTACATGTAACAAAATAATTAGCAACCCATCGTGGTCAAGCTTGCCGCCATGAAAAGACCTCTGTTCTGATCTTCAACCTGAACACTGGCTGCTTTCTGGCGGGAGGGGAGGGGGGGAAGATTGTGAGGAAAATACATAAACTAAGCATTTACTGTACACAGGTCTGCTACGCTAACATTTTAGCATCTCAGCAGTTTCTGTGAGTTGTTGTTGTTGTTAACACATTTAGCACCTGACAATGTGAAAGCAAAAGCACACAAGAGAAAGATTGTGTTTTTTTTTTTTAAATATAAGAATTATTTGCAATATTCGCACATTAAAGCTAGTTCACACAGCCCCTACAAAGCTAACAAGGTTAGCATGCTACTCCTACAAAACCAAAACATGCTGTGAATTAGCGCTCTGTTCTGAAGCTGCTATTTCAACTTTAAGGTCAGTGAGAGAAAAAGTGTGCGAGTTTGTGAAGGAATTTAGGATGGCTCTGGGTTTATGTGTTGCTGTTATTCGTTGATTGTGCCCTTAAGAAAGTATTTTGCATAAAAACCGGAAGGCAGCCGTTATTATACGCGAAAAGGTCAAGTGGAGCTTGTGCTTTATCTGTTATTCAGCTGCAATAATGTGCTAACATTGAAGGGGAAAAAACAACAGCATATTTATATATCAGCACATGGCACAGTTTGGGGAAATGAAACGTCTCACAAAGCTGTCACCATCCCTCAAGGCTGGTTCCCTGAGGAAGTTCCTATGGGTTTTTAGAATAGCATTTTTTTATGTAAAGTGCTGCTCTGGAGGAGGACAAACATCTCAAAAGCTTAGGCTTTCTTGACATTATAAATAGCACAAATCAGGAAAAGAGCAGATGCTGTGCTAGAACCTACATAAATTACAAGCTTTCAAACTACACATCATCCATCATCAGCTGCAAAATCTTTTTTTTTTCAGTTCAGCAGTGGACTATACTAGGAAATCCTCAGAAAATATGTGGTAAAATATAAACAAAAAATGTTTAAAGAATATAAACAAACCAATATATAATGTATATTAACAAATAAAGGACAAAATACTGGTTTGGTACAACTTAAAGCTAATGACACAAAAGTCAGTTTAAGCAGTGATACTTTGTTCTCCTTTCTCTTCTACACTCTCAGAAATAAAGGTACAGGAGCTGTCACTGGGGCAGTACCTTTTCAAAAGGTACAAATTTGTACCTGACAGGTTCATAATGGTACCTAAAAGTACTTTTTAGGTACATTTGGGTACTAATATGCCCTTTTGAGGTACCAATGTGGATTCTTTGCATACAAATATGTATTTTTTGAAAAGATAATGCCCCAGTTACAGCTCGTGTACCTTTATTTCTGAGAGTGTAAGAAGTAAAAAAGAAAGGAATGGGCTACATAATGTGGCTCTGAAGTGTAAAAAAAAAAAAAAAAAAAAAAAAAAAAAAACGGGAAAAAAACATACCAAGTCCATTTTTTTTACGACAGATGAAATTTTTGGAGGCAGTGTCAGTGTCAGTGCAATTCAAACAATGTTAGGTCGAATAAATTTTTTTACATGTGAAAATCACGGACAAAAACTTTGGATTTTTTCAATTTTGAAAAAGACCATAATGTCAATTTTAATAGTGTTTCAAAGATCAGTCTTATTCTGGGCTTGGAATGAGGATGTATGAAGCCCCTTATGTTAGACTAAATTTTACCTTTGACGGTTTTTCAAATATACCTTTTTTCATATCAACTACTGCAATGAAAAAAAAAAAGTTGACAACTTAAAATTAAGGCTACAAGCTTCTGGTCATTTTTGAGTTTACTCAACTTAAATAGAGTCAGGTGAAGTAATAGGGTTAAAAGTTGAGCCAACTGAAGCCATTAAGGTTGTTGCCTTAAATTTTGAGTTGAGTCAATGTTATTGTTTTTTTTACAGTGTGTGGCTTTAAAATTGTCACATACAAGACAAGTGACTGTCTGTATCAAATTTTACATTTTTTTGTACATAGATTGCATATTAAAATGCAATTAAAGTGGCTAATTCTTTATTAATATTTGTAAATAAAAGTAATTAGAATAGCAGATTTGCTCAAAAAAACAATTACAACGGGTCAAATGTAGTGGTTTGAAGAATAGTGAAATTGCATTATTTTTAGGACTGGACTGTGATCCTAAATTTGAGCCTTTTAACATCTTCAAATGATGTCTTGTTCGTAATATGACAAGATTTATTTAGTATATAGTATAAATTACTGCTATGACAGTTTAGTGAGTGTTTTCTTTAAAACATGGTAAAACGAAATGTATGACAGTCATTATTTTTGCCAAGAAAATAACATATAAATGGCACAAATTGTAATGTATGGGAAAAAAACTACAAAATTTAAGCTGTTTTACACTTTATGATTAAAAACCGCTTTTCATCTTTGACCCATATACATAAGCCATCAAGTGCAGCTTTACTTGGCTGTGATGTAAATTAAATCTTATCAGACATTAAAATACAAGCTTTTGATTGGTCCCCATCCAAAATCCTTAGATTTCTACATCACTGTAAAATGCCTCAAGACATGGACTGACATCTGCAGAGTTTGCATGTTAAACAGGTTAAATAGTTTCATATATAGGTCATAAATAGGTTTTCATGTAGCCACAGCAACTTTAAATGCAAAAAATATTGTCAACCAAAGGCATTATTTTACTGCCAAGTAAAAAAAAAAAAAAAAAAAAAACTTTCTGAAAACCCATTACACTGTAAAAATAAATAATAATACATGGCTGCCTTACTTTTGAACTAAATTAACGGAGTCATTTTAACAAAGTACATTAAATTGAATTTAATACAGTACTCTCCATCATGTGGATTTAATCCTGGTTTCTTTCACTTGTCAGACATAAAAGAAGATATTTTGTAGAATGCTGGCACACATTGACTTCCATTGAGGTAAAGTTGGTTTTATATTCACACATGTGCACGGTCTCCTTAATAATATAATTTCACAAAAATATTCTTTGCAAATTCCAGACCTATTTTTAAGTCATACTTACATGCAGTGCTTTATTTGTAAGTTGCGAAGTCCCGGAACAGACCGGGGTAACAGATCCGACATGTTACCAGGGAGAAGTGTCGCGGACGAAAAAGAAGAGTGGGAGAATGGGCAGGATGGAGGTGTCTTGGACGAAAGCGAAGTGCATGGGGGGCAGTAGTGAAGAGGTGAAGAGTGAAGAGGGTTGAGGGTTCACGGAAGAAAGTGAAGAGTGGGAATAGGAAATGTCCATGTGAGGAGGGGGATCGGTAAAATAAGATCAGATTTGTGCCGATCAGAGATCAGATCAGAGGTGCCGGTGCCTTGTTCCGGCACAAATTAAGCCCTGCTTACAGGCCCGGATTGGCTAATTGGGAGGACCGGGAGAATTCTCGGTGGACCGGTCTGTTTTTTGGCCGCGAGGGCCGGTGTCCCTAGCTCCAGAATCTGTTGCTCTCAGCAGTCACACTTTTTAAATTAATTTATTTATTTACTTGACCACAGTCTTCTTATTCATTATTTTATCGCAGCTCTGCTCTTTATATATATATATATATATATATATATATATATATATATATATATAACAAGCCTGCAGGTTAATGATGATATAACTCAGATAAATGACTATACAACTATTTTGGTCTAGTGGTTAGCACGTTAAATTACGACGCCGCCGTCCTGGGTTTGATCCTCGTCTGAGTATGTTTTTTTTTTTTTTTTTATTGTTAAGACATATAATACTGTTAAGGTTGTTGAACATTTGAAGTTCTAAAGCAGCTGTTTTCTCAAAAAAAAAAAAAAAAAAAAAAGATGTGATAGTGTAATTAGAAACTGAATTGGAAATGACCTTATTTTAATATAGTCAGTCGTGTACTGACTGGGCCGGTCTGAGGCTTGAAACTCCAGGGCTGAAAAGGAGTCCCACTCCGGCCCTGCCTGCTTACGTGTGATTTCAGACCGGATTTTTAAAAGTACCATGGTAAACTATATAGAGAACATATCACAAGCTGTCACTGAAAGAATGTGTGAACATAAAACCGACTCTACCTCAATTTGACTTCAGTAGTAAGAGAAAAAATATATGATGGACGTCAATGCATGTTGGCAATCAGCATTCTTCAGAATATCTTCTTTTATTATTCAACACAAGAAAGACACTTAAACTTCATACTAGAGAAGGGAGAAAAAATGTTGACTGTTTTCATTTTTGAGTGAACAATCCCTTTAAAATGATTATACATCTAAAAAGTATTAAGTTAGAAATGTGATTAACTTAGTATAATGAGTTACGAAAAACATGATGCAATGACTATATCATTTTTACAGTGTAAAAACTCCAAAGGGAACGAGTCAATATTCACACAACACCAAAATATTCCTTCAGGTTTTAGAAGCACAAACTGAACAGCTCCACCCAGAAAGCCAACACAAGTTCTGAGGTAATAATCCTTGCAATCCTGATTAATCTTTTCAAGCCATAGAAAAACATGTCCGTCACTCACCGTCTCTAACCCTGTTGAGCCATCAAACACACACACACATACACACAAGTCTTTGGGATGCTAAAGCTAAGAGGTAACAATAAAGAGGAAAAAAAAAGTTACAGAGCCCTCTTCTGGACAGGTGGAGTTATTCCCCCTGAGAAACTCTTGAACTGAGAATATTCTAACACATGCATCGTGAACATTTCTTTGTTTGAGACTTATTCGTAACAAAAGACTGTACATGTTGGGCATTGTCAAGGAGTTTTTTTGTATTAATGTACTTTTTCTTTGTACGTTTGTCGTCAAAACTGCAATTTTGAACATACAAGTGCACCGTTGCTGACCACCTTTCTCGTCTCCCTCGGTCTGTCGTTCATCTTTCTTCCTTTTTCATGACTTTCTGTCTGTTATGAACACCACCAGACTCTGTTTCTAAAGAACATTAAAGAGAAATGTTGTCTCACCACTTACGGTTTTTTGGCTTGTGCTTTGAAAGTGCCTGATTAAAGTAGAAATGGGATGATGTTTAACCAGGGGAATGATCAGACTAGACAGAGCTTTTGATTTTCTGGACTGAATTAAGTCACTGCAGAAACACTTCATAATAATTCACATGCTCGATTTAAATTCTGGAGACAAGATACAGCGCTTTCTGAATTGCATGTATTTTACATTTTCTCTCTCTCTTTCCCACACACACACACACACACACACACACACACGCACACACGCACACACGCACACACACGCACACACGCACACACGCGCGCACACGCGCACACGCGCACACACACACACACACACACACACACACACACACACACACACACACACACTGAAGATAATTGAACGACTATATATTTCAAGCATAATTTCTTCAGGGATTTGCAGGACATCTTTCGGTTGACAGACATATTTTATTGAACCCTGGGGGGGATTCTGTAACAGACAGACTGTAAAGCCAGTTCAAACTGTGGCTGTGCTAAGACAGTTGTTGATGTGAAACAAAAAAGTGACCGGGGAACATTATAGTTTAATGCTAATTAGGGCTTCACACTATATCGTGTCAGCATCGATATTCAGTGTTGCTAATTGGGCGGTTTCCCACCCAGTTGGGCAGTTTTTGGATTTGATTGTGCAGGTAAAAAAATGGCATAGGCGGGCTGACAAAACTTGGACAGCTTTAAAACGTAAATTTTTTATATGCATCTCATTTACCAAAACATAACTGTGTGCTCCTATTCAATACAGTTAGTAGTGACCAGTGCATAGCGTAAACAGCGTGGGCCCACTCACAAGAGGAGGTGAAGGAAAGTTGTATTAAAAATCTGACTCCCTGAAAAAAATACAAGCAGGTATCGATGCAGCCCGGATCTCTCAAAGGCTCCAATAAAACACAATATGTTACTGTGAGGTTGGGTTTAGGGTGTAGACATTCATAAAGCACAATATTGGATGTTATGTACAAGACATTAAATAAATAAAAACTCCAGGGACCTCAGGTATGAAGACTTCGTCTGAATTCATACTAAAACATTGCAGAAAAAAATTCAGATGAAACACTGCATCGGCGGAACCCCATGCATATTCTCGTTGTACATTTGACTTGACGTGAATCGTGCTCGTGCATGAGCGCAAAACCCCTCCCTGCCTCCTCCCCCAATAAATATGCTAATGACTCCACTTTGGCAAAACCAAATGAAAAAGTAAAGGGAAAAGCAAGCAAAAAGAGAAACGAAATGTGAATTGGAGGTGCATTTTTTGGAGTTAGACCAGAGAAAACCTGTGTTATTTGCAAGTTTGTCCTCCGGAATTAATAACAAAAGAAAAAAAAACAGAGTGGCCGTTTAACGCAGTTGGGTCTGAACATCGCACTGTGAGTGAATTAAAAAAGAAATAGTCCAATGTAACGGTGTAAAATTTTGTAGTATCTATTTAGGCTAAGTGCAAATAAAAAAAAAAAGTGCACTCCTCGTTGGAATGAGCTAGCTAAGCGATTCCCGCCCGTCACCGTTTAATTGACAGAGATAAGATAACTAAAGAGAGCGGCAAACAGTAGCGTGAGTGGCGTAGCTCGTAAATCGCATGGCAACATGTTTTGACATGTTCGATCATAAACCCGGTTCAAATCCAGCGTCTAATGAACTCCTTCTTTCCCCCACAACAAATCAGATTTTGCCTACTCTTCATCACGGGGAAGACAAGTAGGAATCATTAAAAGTGTGTGTATTATGTTAAGCGCATTTGAGCATCACATGTTGTTTGCACATTTATTGAATGGAAATGTTTCCGATTCACGTATGCAAATTCGTCTTCATATGGCATCTTTATAGCAATGTGTGTGCAGTCGATCACTCTGATTAGATTGGAAAAACCGACGATCACTGCAAATTGAGCTTTAATGTTTGGCTGGTCATCTGCATGGTATGGAAACCTTATATACCTGCTAGACATGTGGATGATCCCGTCGCATACAGCTACCATTGTACAGTTCAAAGATACTTTGTAGTGTGCAATTTAACATAATTGCCTGTAGGAGTCGCCTATGGAAAAAAAACAAACACACACAAGAAATGCACGTACGCCAGGCATGAAGTTGACCAACGCACACTCACGTTCATTTAATCGTTAGTAAATGCAAACGTGAGCGTGAAATCTGGCGTACGAAAAGATTTTGTGCGTTCTCAGTGTTGATACATGAGGCCCCAGATGTGTAGTTTACTTGGCGCTCGAAGGCCTACCGCAGATGCGTTGTGTGATTGACAAGCAACCTAATTATGTTCAAAAGAAAGTAAAACGTCAAATGGGACAAATTTATACCCCATTACGAAAGTAAAGGTAGTTTAGTGCAGT